TAATTGTAATTATTCATTCCATTAGTATTAATTTCCGAACAAGTATTATAAACTATTTTTTATCAGATTAGATTATTTCAGTCAAAAAATCTGTATAAAATTGCTCCTCATTTTTAATATATATCATGAGCAAGTAAAACAAAACGTGGAATATAAAATATATATTTTTTTTCTGACAATAAACAGATTTTATAGAACAACGAATTACAAAAGAAACTTCAAAGTAATGCTAATCTCAATATCTTTCAGTATATAATATGTATTTCTTTGCATATATCTTGAATTAAATGAAGAAACCGAACATGCTTTTTCACGCGGTCTTGTCCTAAAAAAACATATCCTTTTATATATTTACTCTACAATATGTAAAATAAAATACATATAATATAATAAATAATAAAAGCATGAAAGTATATTTACTTCTCATTCAAAGTTATTCTTGCGATATATTGCAAACTGATCAAAATCGAGATTGGAGCCAGAGATTAAAGAATGAATAAAAACATTAGCAGTATTTGTGTGTTGCAGTATTCGTTTGTGTTTGAGCGCGAACACGGAGTTGTGAATATGGATATTAGAAAAATTGTTAACTGTCTGTGATCGTTGGTGTCTGGGCTAATCTTTGATTATTACTATTTTTATAACATATTTATATATGATTTAATAAACATTATATTAAACTCTTATATTTTACGATGTAAAGTTCTAGTGGTAAAAACCATGTGCAATAAAGCCGTTGCGATTGAGAAACCAGTGCTGGCATCGATATATTTCGCAGAAACATTTGATCCATTTACCTTTTGCATTGGCGCATTCTCCATCGGGGTGTGCCATACGTTGCATCGCGGTAGGCGCGACTCCCAAGGGCATTGAAACTCTGTGACCCAACACTGTTGTGCTTATGTCCCTCTTGGACGTGTCTCTCAAAAATCTAGGACGTATCCTGTAACTGCGGGAAAATAAACGATTATTAAAAAAATTCAAAGGAATAAATAAGAAATAGCTAGTGTATTCAAAGATAAATTATAAAAACAACATTTCGACCTGTTATCAGGTCTTCTTCAAGTTTACAATAAATAAAATATTAACATTACAAATTGTAACGCTCTTTCGGACCAATTAAAAACTGTTCATTTATCTTCTGACATAAGTTCAAGTTTTCTGCTTTTATTTGTTGACCAGCAATCTGACTTTTCCAATAGAATTTTGCTCTCTTTTTTTCAAACAATGATTTAAGCAACGATATCATTGTGAATAATTATGTATTAATAATTTGTAATGTTAATATTTTATTTATTGTGAACTTGAAGAAATCCCGATAAATTCGTTGTTTCTATAATTTGTCTATGAATACACTAGCACGACCGTCTAGCAATGACTGTTTAGCTTCTTATTTATTCCTTTGAATTTTATTTAATTATTTCGACCTTAATATATTTTAATTTAAATTATTAAAAATTTGGACAGTCGCGTTAAAACACACGTATAGTTTTCAACTGCGCAAATTCAAACATTGTACAATGTAAATATTGAAAACGACTACTTTTTAAATATCAAGCATCTGATTATCTTTTTTTTTTTTCGAAGGACTTTTACTGCCTTTCTAGATTTACGTTTTGAAAGCCTCCTTGTTCCGTTTCAAGCTGTACTCTTCTCCCGCGCCGCTCTTGTAGTAATCTCTCACCGGAGGAGGCAAATGTTTCAGAGCATATTTCTCGTAGTCTTTGACGCACACGTACGCTGCCATTTTATCGAACTAAGAAGGTGAATCGTTAGAATCTGTAAGGAGAGCATCGTTAGCAAAATTAAACTCGAACAGCGTAACAAGATTTATGTAAAAAATTCAAAGCATATGTTCTCGTGTCTCTTACAATTCATGTCGATATGATGATTTTAAAAATGTTTCAAACGAGACATGCAATGTTTATTGGTGAATTATATTTTATAATGATAAAGTTAGGATTATAACATAGCATGTTATGATCGAGCGTGTCATTGTATAATGTGTCATCATGTCGTTTGATTGTGTGCTATTGTAGCTTTATTGATAACGCGAGTGATGCCGTTAGCATCGATCGATATATGTCGAAAGAGTATTTGCAAATAAAAGACTTAATTTATTTTACTGTATTAATCCTGTGTGCTATAAAAAAATTGGTACAATTCAAAATCGGAGAAACTTACCGAAACTTACTTCAAGTGGCTCGCTGCCCTCAACTGCTCGACTTTCAACAGACGACTGACTGTTCTGGGATGAAATCTCACAGATAAGAGTGACACTTAGGAGTCAATTATTACACAAACAAACTATTGCGTTTAATAGCATTGGTTGTTTTCATCTGCGATGAATACATTGATTGTATTTCTTTACGAAAAATAAATTGACGATACTCAATAAGCTTCTCATTGCGACGGTATTTTAAGGAATGTAACAGTTTTTGACAAATCACATTTTTTTCTGTGCTCAATAATGACCTCTAACAGATTATATTTATTATATCAATATAGCTAATTTCCAGCTTAAACTATCTGATTGCATGATAAATATACGTTTTTACAAACGTTATTCGACAACTTTTACTTCAAGTGAAACTCATTTATACACTTGAAAGTCACGGCTTATTATCTTATCAAACTTATCATTGATAAGACGACAATGTTCAAAAGTTGACAGCTTGGAAGTCGCGTATTACATTATTTTACTTAATATTTATGTAGAACGAAAGAAAGCTGGGCCATCTGTTTAAACTTTACTTTATTACATTCTGTTAGAAATAATACACAAAAGATTCCGGAGGCGGCAGAGGTCTCCTTACTGCGGATACACGCAAAACGTGCGGGTGTCGCCCGTTCGTAAGTGAAAGCCCCCCGCGAAAATTGGCAAACCGTCGCCCGCAACCCCCCCCGTATGTGTCTGCATTTCGTGTGTATACATGTGTCCTTGGTATGTGTTTTGTGATCGCGTGTGTGTGTGTGTGCATCTTTTTTTTTCTTTTTATCTCAAGTCACCCAGCGACCACGCGCGCACACGCCAACACGTTGCATCTAATTAAGAATATACAATCTTAATTATAATTATACTTATATTTATATATATATATATGTATAATATGTATATCGAAAGTCTGCGAGGGACCATAAATAATCGCGCGGGTCGGCGGTGTGAGAAGGGTCGCAGGATCGGTTGGCAAGTTGGTTACGAGTCCGACGACGAAGTTTTAAATGAAAAATGCCTGCATAAATGCGCCATTCGACCGGATATGTAGCGCATAAGGGGCGACCTGAGCGCTTCTTGTCCTTTTTTTTTACTCGGGTTCTAGTCACATCAGCGACAAATCTCTAAATCTCGTTATACATCCTCGCTTTTCCCTTTCTTCGAAACAGCGCAAAGCTAGAGAAGGCATCAGCAACACGTCTAAAAGACTAAAATAATATCCTACCTCTTGCTCGACAATTTCTAGTCTCTTCTAATATTTTCGGGGCTATTAAATACTAATATGTTTGAGAATCAAATCCTAATAGTGTTGCGCGTCCGTCAGACGTTTTCCAGATGTCTTCCAAGTGTTTAGTCTTATTCGGTCAGTATCCTTTATCCCGCTCTTCATGGAGCGCCGGAACGAGCCTTTGGAGGAGATCATGAGCGACAATTTTACGTGAGCCTCGTAATTTCTTCGTCCGGAACGCGTTAACGCGCCGTCGTTATGTTTTACCGCGAAACACCTGGTGATTTCTGACGAGAATCGATGAGGATCCGGCAAAAGTATCGCAAGCACGAACACACACACACGCACACGCACGCACGCACGTACGCACACGCACACATACACACATACAATTATCGCGTAAACGATACTTGCACATTTAAATTATGGGATTATTAAAATAAAATCAAGCAATTGTTAGTCATTTTAAAGCAACGTTTGCAATAGTCGTTCGAATCGTTCGAAACGTGTAAATAAAAACTTTTACGCTTGCGATATTCTTTCCGATCCTGCTTTCTAGATCTGCTGCAAATCGCTTTGGAAAGTCTTGTGTATTTGTTGCAGCAAATATACAACAATCGAGTTGCGCCGCGTGTAAAAATTAGCAATTTCTTCCAGATTTTTTTCAAATTTTATATTCTTCTCGTCCCCCAGCTGCAAGCAACTCGAACGGGAGATGAGAATGACTTCGAAAATAACCGGAAGATATTCGGTGCATCAATCTCTTTTATATTCTCGCAACGCAGAACTCCAAAATTGGTTAAAGGTCCATTGAAAAACGTCCAAAAAATGAGGATATCTTCTTTGGTGTCTTTACGATATTTGTATCAGACATTTGTGTTGTTTGCGTCAATTTCATGATTTCTCTTTTATATTTTTAGGTCTCAATAGCGTCACATGCCGTGTACCTTAACACGTTCACTGTCCTTTTCAGCTCCTTTCCTCGTTTACTATATTATTGATATTTTCTACTTGAATATGTATCAATCATGATTTCTATTTTGATTTTTTAATTTGGCTAGAACAAAATTAAAAAAGAAACAGTTGTATTATGTGCGATGGCTTATAAATATATAAGTAATATTATCGGTGATACTTTTATGAATCACAAGTGCCGCATAGATAGTGAACGTATTAATAAACCTGCATAAATTCCTGATATTTACTCATCTTATATTTCACATAAGCGTCACACCATTTTTTTTATTCGCCAATATCTACCAACCAGTCTGATAATCTTAATTGTTCTTTCGAGCAGGTTTTGAATTCGGTTTCCTGTCCTTCGATTATGTCAATTCTTATCTCATTAACGTGCTGTCGAAATTGTTCGCCAATTATTGTTGACGATACAACCGTGTCTCCTACGATATCCTAGTAATTGCTCTATGCATCACTATTCGTTTTATATTTTGCATCTAATCGGGTTTCGTGCAGCATTAAATTATTCACGGAATTACAATTCTCCGGAGTCTCGCTGGGGATAAAGCATAAACGCTAAACAGCAGCATGCAGCAACGCAAAAACCAGACGCCTCTCGTGGTGTATTTTGTACCGTGTGTAAATAAATATCCTTCTAGCTCTACATCGTTGCAATTAATAGTGCAATAGTGCGAGCTACAGCGCGATGGCATTTACATTTAACTGTACACACCCGTCCATTTTTTCTTAACTCTTTCGCCATGACGCAATCCGATCTCAGAGAGCTTCAGATATTAAAATAGTCGATTTAATAAGGTTTACTCGTGTTTCTACTCTATTCCTCTCTCTCTCTCTTTCTTTTTTCAAAGCACTACGCATATTTGGTTTCACGCAAAGCGTGGAAACTAGATACATGCAACGGACAAGCTATTTACACATACACGCACGAACGTAAGTTGTACAATACCACACATTAATAGAAATGAATAATCTCAAAATCAGAGGTTGTATATTTCAAAACACATTAGAAGACGAAAAAAATTTTTCAGACAAAAAGACATTCAAATACTCGAGAACATTATGCGATTAAATCGGCCCTAGAGTTCTTTGCGAGCACTACGTCATCTTGATTGTGCTTTTCGTCTCGATATAATAATTTTTCTTACAATTCCTTCCCATCCTGTATTTCCTTTGTCCTTAAAGTTTGCGGAGAAACGCGCGACCATGCGGCTTAAGATAAAATAGCACATAAACGCGTCGCAGCGAAAGAGATAAATTAATTAACATAATTCTGCAAAGAGACACATATATGTATGTTTACTCAGCATCGAACGACCGTTCTTCGATCCTACACTCATCCCTAAAGTATCTACGAGTCATATATAAAAAGCTGTTCACGCTTAAATGTAAAACGTATTGCGCGCATGGCCGATAGAAAAAAAAAAAAACGTGAGGATATATGCTTCTGGTATTTGGCTTTGGTAAGAATTACACCTGAAACACAGACTGGTCCGAAGATCGTGCGTCAGGATCGATGGTTTGAATTTAAAGCCGGTATTATTCCGGCGAGTCTGAATATAAATCGTCAACCTGAACGCCTGATTCGAGGACCAATGCTGTCCGACAAACTTTATTCGTTCCTTAGACGATAACTAACTAAATAACTTAGTAAGTGATACGTTTCGAACGACAGCGCTGATGCACAAAGTATACAATGCATTCGGTTAAGAACGGGAACGGGAACGATCCTCCTCTTTTCCCCTTTTCGAATCTTATTTGAGAAAAATTTTCGGTGTACATTGTTTCTCGATGAAGAAGAGTTGTACAGGATGAATGCACTCGATGCACCAGCGCGCGCGATCGTGTCCTTTTCCGCAGGGCGGAATTGCTCGACGGCGTTTAAAAACAAAGCACGGCGTAGATACATTGACTGCTTGTCGAGGTAGTTATGAGTGACGAGTCCTTCACACGTCCGTTACACGTCAAAGGCAAATGAGAAAGTGCGGAGAACGCATCGCGGAAACGTTCGCGGCGCACTATCGAGTGACAAAAGTAACAGCGGCGACAATCGTATCAAAAACGGTGTTAAGCTTGTCGAGTGCGTGTAAAAGCGCCATTTGAGCGTCGACACAGCGCTCCGAGAACATTCCACAGATCGTATTGAATAAACGAAGCTATCAAATCTTTCGTTTATTCGTGATTTTACTGACTAGAGCGTCGTTCGCGCTGAAATACAATTCAATTACCTTTAGAACTAGAACTAAAGAGACATCGATGACAAATTTTTTTTTTCCTTTTTTTTTCGTTCGTTTACGTGAATTAGACTGCACAATGATCTCGAGGACAACGACGCTACTCTAGTTTCACGTGCGTACAAGTCACGCGCAACGTGTGCTCTGGTGCACGACACGATCCACGCATTTGCCTTTGATCTCTTTTTGATTTCCGTCTGATCAACTCTCTTCGTACTTTGAATCGAACGGCTACCTCCGCCGACGTACGCAACGTATTAATAGTGAGTTTGACAGTTCTTCAGTTTGCCCGCTGAGCGAGATCACACACACATATCGTAAAAATGGTGCACGATCCCTTTCTCTTACTCGTTTCTCTCCATTACGTACACATATTGTTAGCGACCGGCGTAATTTCTCGGCGAGTTTTCGAATTTCTGATGCGATACATACACAAAGACAGACACTTCACGCCAATTATCGCAAATGCAGAGACAATTCTCACGCGTTCGACCGCACCGAAATTTCGATCTTCACGAAATCGCATCGATTTCGAACCGTGTCCTACATACGCAATAACGTTTCGTCGCAATTTTCATCGTTCTTTACGTATCTCTTCTCTTTTCTTTTTTTTCTTTTTTTTTTTCTTTCAATGCGACGACACCGAGCGCTGTTTCATTAGATGGTTTCATTAGATTTCAAAAAATGATACTCCGGCCGACGATCTATCATTAATTAAAACAATGTGGCTCGGCAGTCGCAACTTACGTCTCTCTTATTTCTACCACGCATAAGATAAATGACACTAGTATCATGACACTTCCAGTTTTGTGAATCCTCTCTCGAATAAGTAATTTAAAAAAGAAAAGAAAAATAATCCAAGTATTGTACATACGCTTATTTAGTGTGTGATTACAATTAAATATTAAATAATTATAAACTACACTTCGTGTTAACAAAAGTGAACTTAGCATACAGTCTGTGTACAAAAACCAGGATTTACAGTAGCGTTTCTCTAGATTCTCAATGTATAATAGGAAATATAATAAATTTTTTTTTTATCACATATAAAAAGCGGTTGTCTGTATGTCTATATGTACATGTGTTTGAGTAAGATTAGGTACCATTATCATTTAACCAATAAAAGCTATTATATAATTTGGTACACTGTTTTAACTCGGTTATTCGATAAATACGAACAATAATAATCAATACGTCATTATTTCCTGGTGTCTTGACATAGTCGTTGGTTTTTCGCACGAATTCTTATGTATACACACGGCTCGCTTGTTTCATGTTACATGTGACTTCGTTTTCTCTTCCTTTTTTTTCTTCTTCTTTTAAGATTATTTTTTTGTTTAATATTATATCTATATATAACACACGTTATATTTAATAAGTCAGAGCTATGGCCAGTTCGAGGGTCGTTCGTCGCATAGTCCACGTTTTCTCTCTCTCTCTCTCTCTCTCTCTCTCTTTCTCGTTCTCTTCTTTAGAATGCTTCTGCATTATACAATATCCCGGACAATTGCCAATACGCGCGTCGCGATCACTTTCGCAATCCCCGCGAAAAGACCTCGTTTCCGTAAGAAGACGAATTTTCGCGCAAAGCTCTACGAGCCGTACACTGTACAACGGATTTTCATTCGTTTGCTCCGTATCCTCTTTGCGTCTAATTACCGTCACGATCTCTTTCAATTCCTTTTACTCCGTAAAAATTTGGACTGGGGATGAAGGCAATATCGTTCCCAAACGATTGCTCATATATCCGATACAACATGCACTCGCATGCATGTCGTATTCGAGGTGTACGTGTGTCGTGATAAACGTGGAGTGGCCGCCGCAATCTCGTTTCGGGCTCCGAAATACGCTCCGACGGTCGATCTCTCTCGTCAACAATCTCATCTCTCTCTCTCTCTCCCTCTCTCTCTCTCATCGAATCTTACACATATTCTGACAATCCTTCTAGTTTCTTTTCCCCTTCCTCTTCCACAGTCAACTCAACAAGCGAAGTATAAGCAATCAAATTTGAAGCAACAACTTGATTCTTAAATATCTACCTAAAAGTACAATGGAGTCGCACAATGTCGAAGGCACAACTCTTTCAAATCGGTCGAACTGAAAGAAAGCACAACAGGAGGCATCATTGGCGTATGTTGAAATTTGTAGCAGCACGGCAGGCCGCCGATAAGTGTCTTTCTTCCAGAATGCTCGAGATTATTAAGTACAAGAAAAATTCTTTTATTGTTGTTAAAAGCTTAAATAGCAAAAGCTATGTATACATATATAGCATAGCTATATATTTATATGTTAGAGCATAGCTTCGATAACTGTGCTTTCTCTGAGATGAGAACGTATTAGCTCACTTCTCTTTCTTTGTAATCGTCTCTCTCTCGATTATTAGAAAGTCCTATTTCAACTTCTTCTTCTTTTTTTTTATTAGTAACAAATTTACATAGGCATACGGAAAATTATGATTTATATTTTTGTCTTCTAATCGGCAGAGAACGGGATTCCGTAACACTACTCGCTATACATTTATACAATCTTATGATACTTCTAAAAATTCATCTTGAATTCACATGCATTAATCGAGGCAAATAAAACTCTTAGCTGTATTATTAGGTTTATTGATCTTTCCAAGAGAAAGAGCGCGTTTCTATTTTTTTTTTCTTTTTTCCTGTCAAATTGCCATTTCTAGAATTGGAAGCCAAACAGTCGTCGGGGAGGGGAAGGGGGGGAGCACGAACGGAATGAAGGATGAATGATATCGTGATTAAAGAGAAAAAGCTATCGTCAAGAATTGATTGCCTCAACCAGCATGCGTTAATTCAGTTTTCAATCGGAATAAGTCTTCCAATTCGTTTCCTTGCAATTCGAACATTCATAGCACGTCATATTATCAAAGTAACTACCCACAGTGAAACTAACAGATTAGCATGAGTTCATTAAAGATTGATCGCTAAAAAAAAAAAACCAAGACTTCTCACTTGTTATATCTGTACATGTGCTGCTACCGCTCGGCACCAAGCTGCTGGCACAGTAACATCTAAGTATTCCGAAATCGTTTCACTGAGGCAACAACTTGGCAGAACGTCAGTGTTCAGCGTTCATTATGGATCCTGGCTGGTATTTTGTGACGACTCACAGTTCTGCGGGTTATGCATTTGAAGAGCTAAGTGGGGCGTGTGTACCGGAGAAGGTCCTGGTTGAGGCTGCTGCTCCTCTTGCATTTGTTGGATTACGGTAAAATCGGGGTAACTGCGAAAGGGAACACGCCGGTAATCATTAAAAAAAAAAAAAGACAATTTGCTTGTCTCGTAAAAAATAATCGTACTATTTACAAGCGATATCTATTAATAAAAATAAAAATCTCAAATATTTCTCTGTGAATTCTAAATTAGAACGTAGAATGCCTTCGTGGCACATGAATAAATAATTTTTGTATTTTATGTTCTTATAAACATTCGCGCAAAATATACTACTTACTCTATAGATGCCCACCCTAATGTGCCTCTGTTATTGCGCCTTTTAGTCCGGAATGAAGATTGATATTTGGATGTATTGGACGACTGATACTTGGATGAATGCTGATATTTCTCTGCTTCTTCCGCGCAATCTTCACTCGTATCTTCGACTTCTGGCTCTTCGTCCGGACATAGTTCGCATGCCCGCTCCAATGTCTTTCTCGCGCTGTTGCTGCGCTCCAAGACATATCCGTTCGCAGAATCATTAGACTGTGCCGGCGGAGACCAATTGTTATATGCGTGTGTATAAGGCGCCGTGGATGCATAGGGTCTCTGAAATTATTTATACGAAATTTATATGCTGCTCTTTAGTATCAAAAGAATTAGTTTTTAATTTTTATTACACACTTTGTCAAGTTCGTCGTGGAGCCAATCTATTGCGTGACTCCATTTTCTTTTCAATTCTGGACTGTGATATAAAAGCTGATGCGCAGGTTTGCACTTGCTAAAGAGCTGCACCATACATTTGATACACTGATAAGCCCTCTTTTGATAATGATTCTTACTCCTTTGTATTGTTTCGAATAAACCTTCTCGTTCGTCTGGAACTCCTGAAAAATACAAAAGAACTTACATATTTACATTAATTGAGATATAATAAAACTTTTAGCTATATTATTAACTTTATCAATTTATTTAGGAAAAAATATATTTTTTTGTCATTTCTAGAAATAGAAGTCAATCAATTAAGAACACAAGCACAATGGAAAATGAATGATGTCATGTTAACCCTCGTACAGCAGAAAAAATAATTTAGAAGTAAGAATTAACATCAATCCTTAGAACTGCTAAAAAAAGAAACTTAACAGCTAAAATTGAAAGAACTGTCTTTGCGGCATTGACATGACGCGCGAGAGAATATTTCAAACTTACCCCTGAGTGCGTTGTGCACACGGTGCGTCTGCCACGAATCCTCCATTAATAAGATCGCAAGCAGCAAATCTGTATGATGCCTCAATTCATGTGTATAAGCGAATCCAATTTGCCATAACAATTCACTAAGCACAGTTCGTGATAAATGTGGATTCTCCCAACAGCAGTATTGCAGTAATTTAACTGTATCCTCAGTCACATTAGCGTCCTCGATCAGTTTTTTAATATAACTGTTTCCAGACACAACAGATGTAAAGCTGTACTATAACCTCCTTATTTTATACTCGTGACAATTAGAACGAAATCTTACCTAGTGCGAATAAACAGTATATCAGCTGCTTGCGACGGGATGGGCATGATATACTCCGACTGGCAGGCAGGATCTCCGTACGGATTCGGCAAGGGTTCCGCACGGGGCTGCGTGTGGCTCGAATGTGCCCTTGACGACACGTCGCAGCATCGTATCAACATGCTAACTACCTGGTGCAATTTAGTCAATTCGGGATATTGATATTTTATGGTAGGGCCTGGACCTTCGTCGATGGCGACCAACATGAACGTAACGGGTACATTTAGCTGTAACGAAAACAATAGTATCGTAAAACATGGTTTTTCAAAAGCAATACCAGAGAATAAGAATCAGAAGCGCGGTTGTGAGCGCGAGAACTATTGTATTAACCATCAACAATTCATGTGCAAAAAACGTTCGGAAGACGTTAATAATTAAATATGTACAGCATTGTGCTTACCTTAAGCAACTGCGCCTTTTCAGCAAGACCCAGTGAAGCGTATGCGTGAAAGAGGGAAAAGTAATGAGGAAGATGACGTCCGTGATCCGAAATTTCGCGGTGCAGCAGCGACAATACCGCGTGTAACAAGTGATCACTGAGCGTCGCTACTGGATCCAAAAGTATAGCTGGAAAAGATTTGCAAAATTATTAAGTAATGTGTCATCTTGAACATACATTGCTTCTGTAATATATATTTCGATACTCACTTGGTGCATTCAGGCTGGGCGGAGCGCAGGGACCATCTTGCAAGGAAACGTGTGCAAGGAATACCAAAATTTTAAGGAACGCAGTACGTACTTCTGTACTGGGACAGCTCAAAAGATACTCGCAAAATCTACAACAAATTATTAACGTTAACAGCCAAGACACACAATGTCAGACAAGAATTAGGAACGCGGTTGTCAGAGCGCAAGAGACATCAACTATTATTAATTAATTTACAAAACGTTAGGAAAAAATTAATAATTAAATCTAACACAAAAGATCAAATAGGCTACCGAGTCCACTTAATCTTCCGTTTTCATTTTATTTAATTATTCGGCTTTTATCGAATTTAATTTTGGATAATTAAAATTGAACGTTATTTTTAGTTTTCCACGTTTTCAGATACGTCTCGTGTATTTAGGGAAATCTGATACCTGTGTGGATGATTGAACAACACTTCATTTGCGAACCAAGAACGCACTACTTTGCTGCTACGCAAGTGATGGCACACTATGTCGTACCAGTCCGTCGCAGTGCCACGTAATGTTTTCTTGGTATGGAAACCTGTGTAGAAGAGAAATCTCGACACTAACTGAAGCGACAGCATCGCAAGTTCTTCCGCTTCGGGACTCTGAAATACAACAAATATCACGATTATTAAGCGCGAATTCGTTGAAGATGTGCATTTTACATGCAAATGCACAATGGCCTTACAAGTTTCTCATTCAGATTTTGTCTGTTGATGTTATGCGGATTGCAGGACACCAATTTCTTGATGAACTGGAAGTATTCAGCGCTAAATTGATTTCGGTTGTGCATAAATTTTATGTTTTGCTTTCGCACGCTGTATTCTATCGCTGGTGGCATTTTCATAACTCCTAATTTCGTATCTGTAACATATGATCGATGATGAGAGGACGCAAACATCGAGATATCAATTGGAGATGAAATTTTACCGATACTTACACAATGACAATTCATTTACACTTTTCATTAGGGAATTTTCTTCTACATCTAATCTCGTATAAAATAACATGTACGCATTCCACCACCGCTTCTGTTTGCGGTAACTCATCCGCTTGAGCATATGATCGAATACCTCGCCTAAATAATCACCGCCGAAGCACTGAGATTTCATTTCCTCTTCTTCTTCCATTTTACATTCTGTTACGTCGCCGTCGTCAAATTTGTACCACTTAGCAGTACCATCGTTTAACCTGATGATTGATTAAAAAGGAGCTTGTAATTTGTTCATCGCGTGTATTTCGCGTGTTTAAAATACCTGTGCAGGATGTAGGAGTAGTAATGTCCGCCGCTAGCCTGGCCGCTGTGAACCACTATACCAGTTAATTGATATTTGGTGCACGTTCCTTTCACAGCTTCTTCATAATCGCAATCTATGACTTCTCCCTCTAGTTTGGCCAAGCCGGAAACGGTGTAAGGTTCCATGTCCAAATCTCGTGGGAACTCGAAATAATCATTGAATTTTATAGCACACACACGTTCAAAATCGTACTCAAACCTTTTCAACTGAATCGCTAAAATGGGTGGCAGCTTTTTTACGCACAACCTCTTTACTGTTACGACCTAAATGTAAAATGCATAACATGTAGAATTTGATAAAGCCAAACATTGCCTAATTTGTGTAGAAAATGTATAAAAGATTTGTGCGCGTGAAAGACAAATTATTGAGTATGAAAATAAATTCTTTCCGATTTTTGGGATTCTAAAACTTCATTAAAAAATAATTAAGATCAATTCTTGAAATATTCTCCATTATTATTGATGGCTATTTTTTGATCAAATTATTATAGAAACTTGGTAATTTTAAGGCAATACAATCGTCGAAGGAATTCATTTCCACGCTTAATATTTTCATCACGTCTCATTAGAGAATTATTTTTATGCAATCTCAAAGAATCTTTTATACATTTGCGAGAGAAAGTGTATTATTGTAATCATACTTTTTTGTTGCACTTGTCACAATGGTAGGCGTCTGCGCCTTCCAGCAATTCACCCTTTACATATTGCTCAAGTGAGTCCAACAAATTACTGTGATTTCGTATGTCCACGCTTATCACGCTGAACGGCTCCTCTTTGGAATATCTGAAGACAATGTAATGCGGTATTACAGTCTACCGAAGAAAGCAGAATGTAAGAACTAAAAAGGTACCTATGAGGGCAACCTTTGCAGATTTTTTGGTCGCTATACGAGCCACCAAGAATCTTGCCCATTATCTGCTCGTGGCCCAAGGCTTTCAACGCCTCGTCCAGGCTCTCAACCAAGCTCATGAAGAATTCCACCGCGTCTTGTTGTTCCCTAAGATTTACAGGTTCTCCTTGAAGCCTGTAAAAATAAGATTTTCTCGTTAACCGTCTAAAAATGTAGAATGCACCAGAATTTATATCAATAAAACTGCATTCCTCGAAGAAATCTTAATTATCTTAATTTTGTTTCGCACATTCAAGTATAAAATAAAATTTTACGCAGATATAGAACTTACTCTCGAATAAATATTTATTCTTACTTGAAATGCTTCCACAATCCTCTGGGTATGTAATATTGTAACTTGCTGTAGGCGAGATGACCGAATATTGCTTGCACTTGCTTTAGAATACCGATATTGTACTCCTTCCTGGACTCATCGGCGCCGCACTTTTCCTCGTTCGTGTCGTTATCGTTGGTTTCGATCGTCTGCTCCCCCTCGATCCTCTCCTCACCCGAGAAATCCTCGTTCAAGTCAGTCGCCGCGCCTTCCGCCGCCAGAAGACCGACTCTAATGCTCTCCACCATGTACAACTGCTGTAATACTGAATTCATGTAGCAGGTCGCGCCTGCATTCTTCAAGCCTACGAAGCCTTTAAGCGGTCTGAGCCCCACAGGCGGTAGGTAGTCCCACTCTACTAATGGCTCGTCTTTCTCGGAGTAGAACATATCGGTGAGCATTGTGACTAGAAGTTTCATGTTGGGTACACAGCCTACGCAGAGACCTACGAGTAAATCGAAGGCGGCGCTAGTTGATTGAGGAGTGGTGCAGACTGGACACGCTTGCGAGGCGCTCAGTTCGCCGGTGCTGCGAAGCTGCAGCATGAGGCGGGACGCGGGGAACACGAAGTCCTCGACAAGCTCCTTGATCAAGTTGACACCGTGCTTCTCGTCGGAGCCGATTTCGTACTTCTGATTCGGCGGCAGGAAGGCGAGCAGCTCCTTCGTCAGACCGAGGTGGCCCTCGAGCAAGGCTTCGTCCACCTGACTCTCCCCGGTCTCCTTCACGTTGTCCCGGACCTTCTTCAGCCAGGCAATTTCCACGTTTAACAGCGTCTCCGCGGTCGTCAGGGGGCAATTCGATATATGGGCAAAGTTCAGCAGCCGGCACAGAAGCTGAAAGTATTCGTGGCTCTGCTTCGCGTTTTCCATCACGGTGGTGTTCAGCACGGTGAAGAGGAGGGTGATGGTGACCGACAGCGTTTGGTGTCCGCCACTGCACCATGTTGACATGAGAAAAAATTGCTCGCCAGCGGCGATTCTGATGGCCCTCGATGTGCTGAGTAGGACGAGGTCTATCAAGAAAGTGTGCCATATCTTGTCCCTCGACAATGTTTCCAACGCTGACGGGTTCAGCACGAGGGCGATCGTTAGCACTTCGAGTGCCTCTTTGCACACGAGAACGTCGTTATTATCGGGGTTTCTCTGCTCCTTCTGGTTCGCCTCGTGTATCGAGTGAAGGGCCTCGTTCGACGCGTTAATGTTGCTCAAGTTACCGGTGGATGCGGCCCATGCTAGTCTAATTATGGCACGTATAGTAGCCACATCCGGTAATTCCCACGATAGGGCCTGGACGAAAAGCTGCCGACATCGGTCGGCCTCTGGCCCGCCGGAGATCATTCGGTGCGCGAGATGCTGCGCCAGTTTAGCCGCCACGTTTCTCAGCATGTACTCGGTGCTCTGATTCGGCACACTTTGGAGAGCTTGCTTCAGCACCGCGATACGACCACGGTTGTTGACGTGGTTGTCGTGATTCTCCGGAGTGCCAGTCTGCTGTACCTCGTCCAGCACGCATGCCATCACGTTACCCATCACTGTCAGCAGTAACTTGCACAGTCTCAGCACTGTGAGATACGCAGACCGCTTCGTAGTTTCGTCCGCATTTGGTAGAAACTTGTTTTTGGTTAACATGTCGAGAATAACGCCCGCTTCGCCACTTTTTATGAAATTATATTGAAATTCAAATGCTCTCTCGGACATAGGATCGAGAGCAGGCATTAACAAAGTGTATAACACCTGAAAAGAAAAAAAAAAAAAGAGAACGATTATCAATAGTGCACTGGGATAAAACTTGTCGAGCGCTATGTAATGTATATTCACCTCTAAATTGTATAAAACTTGGCTAGGACTTGCAGTAAAAAATAGAGAATCTACTGTCGTATTTTGCTCGTTACAGTGATATTGAGAGGGGTTCTGTAAAGTTTCATCGTCTTTGTAGTGGCCAAATAACCACTGTAGTCTTGTTACAGTGAGAATATCTGGCGGCACCAATTGCAGAAGATTTCGTGCACCGTCACGCAATTGTGAGTGTTGAAGGGTGCAGCCGAGATCTGCCAATTGAAAGAAAAATGTCGCATACTGCGATCTCTGCGACATCACCTAGAATAAAGCCGTGCGGTTAAAATAATAACCAAACTTCAAATTTATATTATTCAAATTTACACGTTAGCACTTACCACGCCGGGCAAACTGTTTTCTGCTTCTACATTCGGCCCATCATACGGATGATGTGGAGAACTAGTAGAGCTATCAGAACTGCTGTCCGGTGAGCTTGGCATATTGCTATTTACTTGACTGAGCTTTGCAGATAACAACTGCAGATAACAAAACAGAATACACTTATAGAGATTACGCCTATTTCTTTACATTAAGTATTTTTTATTTACAAACTTTTTCTCTATCAACATTCTCACCATTTTGTCTCTCAGTGGAATCTGAGAAAGAAGCTTTCTATCGTCAGCCTGTTCTAACGATTCTCCATTAATAAATAAATCCAGTTTTACATTTGTCCCGCTCGCTTTAATCCTGCGTAATATTTGACGTCTCAGTGAAGCTAATGTGTCGTTGCTATGAGTGAAGATATCTATGTCGTCAACATTTCGACCAGGACTCGCGAAACGAATGACGAGTGATAGGTGTTTGCCACGAGCCGCTCTGTAATCAGAATCAACATTGCAGTTTCATTATAACAAAAAAAAAAAAAAGACATTCTCATCGTTAATATGACTGCAATCTTACCTATGTAGCGGTAATATTTTCCGTTCTCCTGGAAAAGCTGTATCGCACTCGTTTATATATTCCTGTAAAACTTTCATAACGCGGCACATTTTTATAGCTTCCATTTTAATCTTATTTGTCATTTGTTCTTCGCGCTCCTCCTTCCCGTCCAAGTACACTCTGCTCAAGACGGTCACGGTGTCATAATGAGCTTTCAGTCTGTCCATACATTCCGCTATATACGTTTCGTGAAATGCCAAAACGGATGATTGCAGTCGCGGTCCTAAATTGGTGTTCACCTCCTTCAAGAGCTCTATGCCTCTGTTTGCAATTTCCTCCGGGCTGTTTGTCACCACCTGCAGATCGCGATAAGATTATCAAATATACACGTGTAAGGTGATAGAAAATATAGAAAAAAAATATGCAAAATTATGTAATCCACGTACTCTCCACAAATAATCAGTGCCAATTAAATCCACGTCATCCATGAGAAAGGTTCTGCGTTTCAGCTTCAATTTTCCTTCCTTAGAATTAACAGCTTTAAAAAATCTTTCGTAACACTTAATACCGCTTTCCGTAAGCAATGTCGGATCTAGTTGTAATATATTGTTTTGAAAGAAATCTTTGTTTATTGCTGGATCCAGATCTGGTTCGTCTCCCATGAGTTTGGAGAACCACTTGAAGCACGCCTCGCGATCCGAAACAAACACACCTTGCTCAGCTAAACATTGCCAAATTTGCTGTGCTTGTTCGGCGCACAACCATAATTGTCCATCCTAATAAAAATAAAAAAAAAAAATTATATACTGTCATATTATATGCGCATTCTTGGTAGAAATTCATGCGTACTCTGTAAAAGATTTCGCACGTACCTTCAGTAAGAAACGCAGGAAGTTCAATCTTTCTTGAACCTGTATAATATGATTGTATCGACCGTCAGGCATAAAAGTATTTGCATCAATTTCAGGGTTTTCTTTCACCAATTGCCGCACTTTATCCATATAATTTGTTAAACTATTTGTTACAAGTATTACTACTGAGTGTTCGCTTTGTAGACGTTCTATTACTTCTTGCCTGCATAACAATAAAAAGTGAATCGATTGTAGCGATACAATTTTATGTGTGTGTCCA